ATTCCCTTGGGAGAGTCTATTCAGCTTGCCAGAAAAGTGAAGATGTCCACAGTGGCCAAGCCAGGCTCCTCTGAGCCATGCTGCTATAGGAATCAACCAGGCCCTGGTGAGAGGAGCTGTTTCTATGAGCACTCAGCTCTTAACAGCCATGCGACACCTTTCCTCTTTGTCCTGCAGCTGGGAGCTTATTTCAAAAGTTATTTCAGGAAGTTTTTTTATTTAGTTATTTTAAAACAATTTCCTAGTGTAGACATGCCCTTAGGTGGGTGGAACTAGGGGCCTTCCTGTCAAAAATAAATCACTTTTTGCTCTCAGTTCCTCCAGTGGCACACAAAGCATTAAGCAATGGTCCAGTAGCTGCTGCTGAGATATCCAAAGACCTGATCCTACATGAACAGACTCACTTAGGCATGGGGAGCGGGGCATGGAATGGATCATGAGGTTAGATGATGGATTCAAGAGTTATGCAGTAGGCTGTCAACTTCGATTTATCCAGATGTCACACAAAAGTTTTACAATAATAAACAAAATGTCTCTAAGTTTACTAAGCTCACACAGGTAGGTCTGGGCAAACATCTGTTAATATATCTTGTTTTATCTTCAGAAGTGTAGATCCAAGTTACATTTCAAATACCATTTGGCCAACAGATGGCAATTAGAGGCTCTAAAAGCTGCTTTAATTAAATTTAACAGATAATTAACTTTCAGGGCAATCTCTTTACAGAACATACTGTGGAGAGACTCCATACAATTTGTCCACAGCACCTCTAGGAGAGAACTGGAAGTTTTCACGAAAAGAGATGGAAACCTATATTATACTTGGCATGGGCTCTATGAATTCTATGCCTCAACTCTTGCCCCAACACACTGTGGCTAAGTAACCATCTCCACAGATCCACACTAACAGTGTCAGGATCAAGCCTGTAACTGCTTTATCCCACTGATAGTAAGAAAACAGTGTTTTACCAAGCAGGTCAGCAACTGTGGTTGTTTCTTTTGCCTCAGCTGGGTTAGTTCAGGGACAGAAACAAGGTCATTTCTCTAAAGAAATGGTATCTGTGGAATTTACTGTGACAGTTAACATGCCTTCAAGGGAACATCCTGGGAGCTAAACATGATGTGTAACGGTAAACACATGCACAAAACTTTGCATGATAAGGGTTTAAGTCTGATTTGACCAACAGATTCTTTACTGTTCAGAACAGCACTGATTCAAACACCACCATAACATTAACAGACCATTTCTCTTACAGAACACCGTTTATTTGGCATTTGGATGAAATGTTTCTCACAGCATCTTGAGGGGGAAAAAAAGATTTAGTGCCAACCCCAAAGAAAAAATTAAAACATAAAATATCACAGGGACAGAATTATTACAGTATCAAATTTAATTTCTACATGGTATTTCATGGAATATCAAAATCTTTTACACACTGCCACAGTTACATTCAATCACAAATCAACTACACAGGAGTCTGCAAATGCAGCCTTGGCTGAAAGTATTTTTCAATAGAAGATAAAAAGCGGTGTCTCATTCTCTCTCTCTAACCACCCAGGCATACAAAAATCTGGTACACAGATTACAATACAGCATGGCGGTGAAAGTGGCTGTTAGTGCATGTCTCTTCTAGAACCATCTGCAACACACTGTACTTTGCAAGGTGCACAATACTGAAAATAAAATTAATTGTTGTACCTCAGCAGCTGGTTGATCTAGAATATTGATAAGGGTAGCAGATCTCTGTTGCTGAATTCGTTAATCCCATTCCAGATAAAATACTGGATAATAAAATATTGGCTAAACGTCAGAATACAAATGTATGGGCTGTATTGGACTGTTTCTCCTTCACTATCTCTGCAAGCTGCAATGTAAGGGACTATCTTCCAATGCATGAATAAGGACTTTTGAAGGGAAATTTCTATGTAAAACAAAAGTATTGGATAACTTTTCCTTCCCCACTTATTTCGTGGAAAGCTGATTTTTGACAGAAGAGACAAGATATGCTTTCTACATACAAATTTAGTACTCTGAAATGGAGATCTACCGAAGGGAAGAACATTTACAGTATTCCAAATTCTGTGGTTGTGCAGAAATTCATGTAATAAAAGCCCACAAAACATGTTACAGACTTGGGTGAGGAAGGAAAGCAGCTTAAAGTTCATGAAGCTGATTTTTCCAAATGAAGAGTGACAAGTTTTAGAGCACAATACTGCAATCTTTACACAGGAAAGCTCCCCATGACTTTAATAAGACAACTGCCAAAGCATTAGCCACATTATTAGCCCTTCAAAAACCATGTCAAATTAGTTTCATACTTCCGTTCAATCCATGTCCTGTCATGAGAAGACAAAAGTAATAGCCTGAGGTTCAAAATGTGACAAAACTGAATGTTATGTGAACAAATCTAAATGGCCATAATTCTGATCTATGGTACAGAATTAAAACAATTTAATCTGAAATGTTATCAATCCACTTTGTAGAAAACTAAGCAGTGCTGGGAATATGCGTGCAGGTACAGGTGATAAAGTGGACATCTAAATTGTTCTTGAAGGAACAGTAAAAACCTTAATATGGCACCACATTTTGTTATAGGGGAGGAAAATCTGTGGAACAGTACTGAAGCCACAATGGAGCATGTTAGCTGCAGACAGAACAGTCTTGGGGCCCTGAAAAACCAACTGCAATGAAAATATTCAAAAAAGGACAGAAGTACATGTTTTTTAATCACTTGAACTGCCAGGAATGACAATGTAACAGGAATCTTTTTAAGTCACTCCATCATGCTCAGAGAAACGTTCAAGATTCACCACTATTACTAAACAGCAACCAAAGGACTATGGTGTTAAGGAATTAATATGTAAAATAAATGTGAATGCCAAAGAAATAATCAACCCATTGGCATGAAGAGGAAGGGTTTCCTATGCTGAGCACCAGTGACTTGTGTTGGTGTTCATAACATGAGCTTCATAGCACCCATCATTCCTCTGGCTGGGAAGGTCTGCTAAGGAGTCAAATGCTTTCACAGAATCTCTTCCTCAATTGGTCCTGAAGTCTTGATAGAAGTGACATTAGCAAAAAAGGATCTTACTCCAAGATGGAGTGTTATATGTCAAAAATGCTACTGTGATAGTGATAGTAAAAGGGAAATATGATCATTTTATTGCCAATTAGATGCTCATGGAGAGGTAAGCAAGATCTGTACTGAATGAGCTGCTCCACCCAAGGCAAAATTTTCCTGTTTACTCTCAATTAAAAGATGGGAGAGCTGTAGCTTTTACTCCACCACTGATGTGGAAATAGCTCAGAAGCTAAGCAAAGTATTACACTCAGGTGTCTACCAAAGAGTCTATTGAATATTTACAACCATGAGTCATTATGAAACAGAGTTGCAACAAAACTTATCTTCAGATACATTGACTAGAGAAACACAGGAAAGTCAGAACCGAGGTCAGATTAATGCAATCTTGGGAGACATGTGAGGTAAAATAGCTGTTCACCTCAGCCAGAAAACCATTAGAAGAAATAAAAACAAGTCTATAGGCCTTTCATTATTGCACTAGGAAGCTATACAGAATGAATATTCCACCTGGCTTTAAAGAAATGATAAGAAAGATGTTTGCATTTATCAGTTCCAACAAAACTATTTCCAGAGCCGTCTGGAGTAGCATAGACTTAGTATCGTATCCAAGTATATTATGATGCTCTGTCCTACCCTACAGTGTAGCCAGCTTTAAGGAAATGTTAACTTTGCTGCCTAGGAGACAAACTCATAGCCCAGTGCTTAGCTTCACCTAGTTTGAGGCAGCACAGAGGGTACCATCTACAGTATGTATTTATTATCACCGCCTAGAAACACACACACACTCGTACATATAAAACTAAAGAAAAATCAGTACATACAATGTATAAAACGTACGAATGTGCTCCAAAAGTGCACAAAACCCGCTTTATTTTTATACTTCAGAAATGCTTGATATAGTCATAAGCTGTATATAGGGCTCTGACTATTACACCCTCCATTTTACTGGACAATGACTCAAATTCAAGGAGGAACTGGCAATGAATCCAGGAGATTGAGAACCGTTCTACATATTTTGGGCCACTCATTTTAAAACAGATTATAAATTAGACAACGAATGGAAACAGGCCACGTTTACAAGACTCCCCAAGTGGGGGGAAGGGTGAACTTTTCTAATACCATTTCCCAATGCATTCATGCCTGCATTTGGAGCCCACATAAGAGCTGTGTTTTATACTATGTTTTACACTCCAATGGTTTTAAGATTGTTAGCAAATGCCTGAATTTCAAAAGACACTAAATACAAATCGGGGTGATGAAAAGAATAAGGTGTTTTGTGCAAACAGGTTAAACTGTCAACACCATTCCCTAAGAATAGCATAGCAGATTTCAAGATACCAAATAGAAAGTAGCAGCACTTACAATGGGGCAGAGAAGGGGGAGAATTAACTGTGCTGGGAAAGTAGGATTCAATTAATCAATCCTGTACAATTTCTCTAACTAGCAAAATAAACAAAATCAGGATAATACCCTTCCCATGCAGTGCTTTTTCCCTGTCCTTCTAGGCTTGCTACCTTTCATAAGGCAACAGGACAACACTCGTGAGAAAGTATTCAGTACAAATTCCTTATATAACTTGATCTGCTCTGATTGTGGGGTCTGTTCAGTAAGTTGGGAAATCAGATGCAAGAAAGATGGGGTAGGAAAGGAAATCCCATGTACACTAAAAATCTCACTTCATTATGAGAACACTAACTAAAAACTATTCAGTATTCATAAAATCCAAACTAATGAAATCCATCATTTGAAAGTTAAGTCTAGTGAATGACTGACAACAGCTTCATGCTGTAGTACACAAATTAGTTTTGCTACTTTAAATAATGCTAGATTGAACGGAAAGGGATGCTTTAAAGATTTAACACAACAGAATGAATTCTTCAAATGACTGAAGAATCTATAAGGGAGTTAATCCCTTATATCATGTACTGTGCCTCTGCTAAAAAGATGCCAGTATTATACGGACACCTCTTTGTTTATGAATCAGAAATTTACTGTCACAATACAAGATTTGCAGCTATAGATAAATAAGTAAGTTGTAACTGCAAATCTCAGGTTTGTTTTGCTTGGTACCAATTTCCAGAAAAAGCAGAAGAAATCAAATGTTATGCAGGTCCTTTTTGGCCTCAGTCTTTCTAGTGCTTGGAGGCAGTGGGACAATCATACATTTCACATTGTATACCACTTCGGCTTGTGTTTTAGTTCCTCATTGGTCTTGCTTCTGTAAAGCACAGCCATCACATCTCCAGAAGTTCAGCCATCTGTTTTTCATGAGTGTAAGTAACCCTGAAGCACAGGAGACCACAACCGATCACATGGCAACTGCCCCTTTTTTCCTCTTGTCGGTGACTTTCCTGGATCCCACGGCATTCAAACTCCAACAAGCTTTTTTCTGATTTTGATTTTTGTTGTTGTTTCTTCTCTGTGATTAAAAAAGGCAGAAAAGCTACCCATGCTTTTTCCTCTCTTTAGAAGAAATCAAAGAAAATTCTCTGTGCCTTCTTTTCCATAACCAGTGGAAAAAAAGTATATGTTCCACAATCCATATTTACAGGACAAATCAAGTAGAGAATGAATGACACCCAAAAACGAGAGGCACAGTCCTATACTAGAACATAAAAGCAGGGCGTTCAAAACCAAAGTGGAGCATCCTTCTGAAGTTCGCCCCATGGATTAGTGTTTGTCCATACAGCTGTGTGCAAACAGTTGCTTGTATTATTTCTGGCCAGCAGTAAGCATTTTATTCCTTTATACAATGGTATTGAGAGAACAGTGACTGCGGCAGCTTCCTGTAAGAGTTTCTGTCGATGGGTTTTCGTTGAGAGGCATGTCGGGAGGTACAAGAAACGTGCTACTATCTGCAGAGTCTTCTAGCTCCACTGATGAAGGGCCAACTAAGGGAGAATGAGATTCCTCTGTGAGCTGTGGTGATATATCACTGTTTCCTAGTGATGGACCACTCTGCATTGTCTGAGAGAGAACACCATCTGCAAGAGAGAAATGCAAAAAGACTCAAAGCTCTGGCCTGAGTATGCACAGTGGTTGGTTATTCTATGAAGAAGTTGCATTTAAGTTTGTCATATGAAGTACTCCTCACACCTAACCCCAGAAAAGACCAAACAAGTAACTGGCACGCACTGCAGAAATTACATATAGCTAGTTGGTCCAGACAGACAATATTTAGTATATGCAATAACATGACAGAATGAGTCTCATTGGTTAACACATATACTTTAGGCATACAGGACTGCATGATTATGCAGTTTAAAATAAATAAGGAACTTATTCCTTAAGTCACTTTAGGAATATCAATAGAGTTGCTGTATTACTAACCTACCACGTTATTAAAAATGAGAACATTTCAATCTAATTTACTCTGCCATTTTTGTAGGCTATTCATTTAAGGACATTTGGAACAGACAATGAGTTTCACGTTTCTAGTTAGTTTTACTTGGAAAGTTCTCAGGTGCTAGAAGTGCTGTAATGTTTTGGTTAAGAATTATTATAGGGAAAGGTTTGAAATCATACAAATGGCTTTAATTGAAATTATTTTTGTTTTGAAGTTTCATAAAAACAACTGACAGATTGTTATTTTCTGCAAAACCTAATTTTGAGGTCAGTATCTCTTAAAATATGAACCCTGAATTTCACCTTGAGCTTACTTAATGCCAAATACTATTTTTTATAAACTTTACTGGCTCAGAATTCAGATACAGAGACTGTTGGTGCATTAGAATCTTCCTAGTTACATAGCTTTGTATGTATGTGTTCCTCATTTAGGTATCATTAACACTGCATGCTTCCAGAATTCCAGGATAGCCAGAGTAAAGTCAAAAGTAGTAATTTCAAGAAGGTAACTATACAGCTCTCAGAGCAAATTACTGGCTTACATTTTAGTTACCTTTAAAAAATATCCAACAGTAAAAATAAAAAGCATTCCTCAAAAAGTTTACAATACATAGGAGACCCTGGACTTTTTTAAACTTCAAAATTCTATCACCCTCATATCCAGAGTGTCCTGCAATTTGTTTTATAAAAGTTTGAGATCTGTCTCAGCTCAGGACATAAAATAATTAAATATCAACTTTTAGCTGGCCATGTACAACAATTAAAGGATTAACTAAATAAAAATACAAATTTCATCGGGCAAAGGCCTGTATGAACAGGCGAGTGGTATATGGGAGCTGGGCTCTATTAGAAAATGGAGAATACAAACTCCAGCATCAAGAACCCTCTTGTTGTGACTGTTCCACCAGCATCCACCAAATTTACCTTTCAGGACACTGTTCATTATGCTGATTTTAGGTTTCCTAAATAGCATTTAAGTCACACAAAGCTAAGAACTAGAACAAATTTGCAGCATTGCCCAGCAAATTTTAGTGTTAAGAATAAAATGATAGAATAAGAGTTGTATTAAAACATTTACCACCTAAAGGGAAGTTAAATTCTGAAATATGTCATTGCTACCCTATCACAGAATCCCTGAAATATTTATATTCTTCAGTTTAGATTAAACTTTCCTTTAAGCAGAACAAAAAAGGATTGGAGTGCTCCTCATTATCAAAATAGTAAAATTAGTAATAATTAAAACTTCTGCCCATGTACCTGGAGTAGAACAAAGGATACCGTCTGGATTGATGGAAGCCTCATAGGGAGGAGGTGGATCATCAGGATGCTGAATGTCAGGATATTTGTAAGCTGTATATGGTGGTGGGGGGTCATGGAAATGAAATGCCCCACCTTCCCCATCATCTGAAAGATGCAGCGGAGTAAGGCCAGTTCCGAAACCATCTGGACCATAATCAAAACCAGGCATCCTGCGGCCCAAGTTAAAATGGTGCACTGTTTAAAAGAATAAAATATGAGAAAATGCATATCTTTATCTAAGGCACAGCTCTGCACCTTCTTCTATTCTTCCCCTTAGTCACAGAATCTCACCTAAAACATATATAATGAAACTGTACTTTGGCCTCATCCAAAGTCAGCCATCCAGAAGCATTTATAAATCTTGCAAATCACCATTTTGAAAATCACCAGAACATTTGTCTGCCACCACCCAAGCCCTCTCTTCCCACTTTATTTATCCTAACCCTCACTGCTGTCATATCTATGTCTAGACTTTAAAGTTCTTTTTAGGTCGAGATCTTGTCTACTTTGTTCTGAAAGGTGCCCGAATACTCTTTGGGCATGGTACACTTGTTCATATGATAATTATGTACATAACTAACTTTCCTATCCAATAGGCTACACAAAGTAGAAAATGAGAAACAAGACTGGTATCATTACAAGATCTTTAATTCTGTGGGGACAAACCTGACCTTTCTAAAAAAAAATTAATATCTTTCACTTTAGATGGTAGATACTTATAATTCTATTACTAATGGCTTTTCTCCACAGAGAATTCACAGAGAAGCTAGTGTCTAATAGGTAGGCTGTGAATGTAAACAGCAAAAACTATTCCACACTATCTCCCTATGTGGACATTTGGGTTCCACACTAAAACTACCTCTGTATTTCAGCTTAACCCACTTTGGAAGCTTGCTTATGTAACTGAGCTAAAACTGCAATGAGGCACTATCTTTCATTGGATCAACTTCTATTGGTGAAAATCAAGCTTACACAGAGCTGCTTTCTGGGGCTGGGTAGTGTACATAGTGTCACAGCTAAATACAAGGTAGAACAGATTGTTTAGTATAAGTAGTTAGCAAGTTTCAAGGGACCACCCAAGGTGAAGGGAGTAGCTATAAATTGGCATCTCTGTTCAGTCCATGATTTTTAGTATTTATCCAATCTATGAATTTAAGATCTCAGGCTCATCTGTGGGAGGGAAAGGGGGAGAGGGGAGATCCCAGAGTGCAGGCTTTGGGCTGAGCACCTAGAGCATATTTCATAGCCCTGCATCCCAAGCCCCACAAGACCATGCCTGCTGACAGACACCACCCAGGGGTGTTTCACTGCAGTATACTCAAAGGGTATGTCTGTATTTCCCAGATATGAAAAAGCTCTCTCTCCAAACTTGTACGATATTACCTAACTCACATCTGTCTCTCTACAACCCTGGGATCCACATGGCTACAACAACACTGGCTAAATGTACAGTTACAGAATACTTACAATTTACTCCAATCAAAGACTCAATGCGCTCTCTACGCCTCTGGCGCAACCGATGGACCATGAAGAGCAGCAGAGATAAGATAAGGAAGGAAGAAATGCAGCTTACTATCAGACGCATTCCACTTGCCATCGAGTCAAATAAATTGTTGCCATCTGTTAGGTGAAATAAATAAAAAATAATTTATTACTTTGACCAACATTTTTTCTTTACGTTTTCTTTCAATACCCTGATGGTCCAGCACCAACTGCAACCCGGAAGTGCTCCGGCAGCTGCTTCAAGTTGTTAGTGTAATGGATTAGCAGCTGCTTCAAGTTGTTAGTCAATTACACTAACTGCGGCTGGATCTGCAGGCAACAGGCTTGCAATTTATCTTTGCTCTATCTATTGCCTCTGGGGGGCGGGAGGGGAAGGAGAGAGGGAGGAGAAGGGGACCGAGGTCAGAGGCGGGGGCGCTGGCAAGGGCGCGGGCGCCAAACTCTCCGTCATGTTGCAGGGTGGTGGAGAGGGGGCAAGAGGCAGGCAGCCGCATTCAGGAAGTTCTAATCAGTTACACTTACTCCGGCTGGATTCACAGCCAGCAGCAGAATCCAGCAGAAGCAATAAGGGGCAGTTGAACACCTGGGGCTAAATGACCAGTCCTGAAGAGTCAGGCAAGCCTGGGCTGATTAGGATATCTGGGATTAATTAGGGAAACCAGTTGAGACTAGCTATAAGCTGGTGGTGGATATGTGTGCCTCAGATAAGAGAGGAAAGCATTACTGGGAATAGGAGGAAAACAGACAGCAAGTGGACATTGGGACGATGAACCAGAGAAAAGGAAGGTGCTGAGGAAGGTGTGTGGAAGCCCAGGGGTCGTGGAGCTGCTGTCATGTAGCAGGTGTTGGGGACTCACATAGGCAGCTGCTATTACAAGGCCCTGGGCTGGAACCTGGAATAGAGGGTGGGCCCGGGTCCCACCCCTCCCCTCCCCCAGCCCAATATATGCTTCCCTATTTGCATACAGGGGAAAGGACTGTGGAGTTTATTCTCTGTTTTTATCATATGCTGGCTACTGATGAAAGTTCAGCAAACTAATATCCTAGGAGTGGTGTCTAAAAACGAGAGCTGCTGTGAGCCTCTGAGGCAAGGAAAGCACCCAAAAGCATAAGACCCACCCAGTTTAAATAGGAGCTTTGTCGCATTAGATATTAACAACTTCTGAAGAAACCCATCCATCGTAATGAAACTGGATTCCCTTAAAATTCGTTATCCAGCACAGTGGAAATAAGTACTTAAGACAAAGAATGAAAGTCTTGCATGGCATTAGAAAGGGGAAAAGCAGAGGTTTAAGAGCAGTGGTAGGCAACCTGTGGTCTGCGGGCCACATGCAGCCAATTGGGGTTCAAAATGTGGCCATGAGACACTGTGTTTACAGCTGCTCGTGATTCCACTGGTTTCCATATGCATAGTTTTTTTCCTGCTTAATATTACTAAAGTAACAGACTTAAAGCAAGGACATGTGAAGTGAGGTGCATGCTAATTATACGTAATGGTGAGAGCAGTGAAAGCGCTGCTATAGTTCAGTCAGCATATCTTGCAAATTCTAGGTATGCAAACAAATAACTGTCTCGGTTACAACAATTTTGTAGCTCACTGACATGAAGGAGGGCCACTCATGCGGCCTACTTACTAGCCTAGACTGCGGGGAGGCGGAAATGAGGAGGTACAGGCAGAAGCTGCTCCAGTCTGTCTAGTGTAACCCCTGCCTACAAGGAGTAAGAGGCCATTCCAGCCTAGTGGTGGTTTGGGGGGACCGCTCCAGTTGAGCTACAGCAGCTCCCCATGCCCACCCTCCCCTTTAATTGGTTAACCAGTTAAACAATATGTTTAACCAGAAACCAATTAAAAGGGTTCTTTTCATCCCTAAAGCAAGCCAATGGTAAATCTAGGAATTGTCTAGACTCCCAATTCTATGCCATATCCTCTAGTTCCAGGGTCTTGGACCTCTTGTTGAGAAAGTATCCATGCTCCTCATACGGCATGCAGTAGAAGTAGAGATGTTAAAATGTGTGTAATAAGGTAACTGTGTAACTGATACAGAGCCAGCAATGCAGGGTAGCAGCCTGCATGTAACCATGAATGGTAACCAATAAGCCCAGGTTTATAAGTTAACCATTTAAACAGCTGCACTTTCACATCCCAAGAATCCATTTATAGGAGGAGTAGAATCAAAAAGAAGGCCTTCATGAAAGGTCAAACTGCAAACCTTTGTAATTGCAAACGCTAATAAACCTCACAAAATAAGACTTTAACTAACACTTTGCTAAATACCATATGTGGCTGACTAATCACTTATTGCATAAATTATGATTGTCTGTTTCACGTAATGTGACACCAATATTTAAAAATGGCTCTAGAGATGATCCTGGCAATTACAGACCAGTAAGTTTAATGTCAGTACCGGGCAAATTAGTTGAAACTATAGTTAAGAATAGAATTATCAGACACATAGATGAAAATAATTTGTTGGGGAAAAGTTAACATGGTTTTTGTAAAGGGAAATCAGGCCTTACTAATCTACTAGAGTTCCTTGTGGGGGTCAACAAACATGTGGGCAAGGGGGATCCAGTGGATATAGTGTACTTGGATTTCCAGAAAGTCTTTGACAAGCTCCCTCACCAAAGACTCTCAAGTAAAGTAAGTCGTCATGAGATAAGAGGGAAGGTTTTTTCATGGATTGATAACTCACGAGAAGAAGACAGAAAACAAAGGGTAGGAATAAACGGTCAGTATTCAGAATGGAGACGTAACCAGTGGTGCTCTTCAAGGATCCGAATTGGGACCAATCATATTTAACCTATTTGTAAGTGGTCTGGAGAAATGGGTAAACACTGAGATGGCAAAATTTGCAGATGATACTAAAGTGTTCAAGATAGTTAAGACCAAATTAGACTGTGAAGAGCTTCAAAAAGATCTCACAAAACTAAGCGATTGGGCAACAAAATGGAAAATGAATTTTAATGTTGATAAATGTAAAGTAATGCACATTAGAAAAAATAATCCCAACTATGCATACGAAATGATGGGGGCTAATTTAGCTATAACCACTCAAGAGAGAGCTCTTGGAGCCACTGTTGATAGTTCTGTGAAAACATCCACTCAGTGTGCAGTGGCAGTCAAAAAAGCAAACAGAATACCAGGAATCATTTAAAAAGGGATAGAGAATAAGACAAAGAATATATTATTGTCTCTATATAAATCCATGGTATGCCCACATATTGAATACTGAATACAGATGTGGTCGCATCAGCTCAAAGATATATCGATACAGGAAAAGATTTAAAAAAGGGCAACAAAAATCATTGAGGGTTTGGAACAGCTGCCATATGAAGAGAGATTAAAAAGACTGGGACTCGATAAAATCATGACCAGTGTGGAGAAACTGAACAAGGAAAAGTTATTTACTTGTTCTCATAAGAACAAGGAATCACCAAATGAAATAAATAGGCAGCAAGTTTAAAACAAAACAAAAAAGAAGTTTTTCTTCACACAGTGCACAGTCAACCTTTGGAACTCCTTGCCAGAGGATGTTGTGAAGACCAGGACTTTAACAGGGTTAAAAAAAGAACTAGATAAATTCATGGAGGTTAGACTCACCAATACTTATTAGCAAGAATGGATAGGAATAATTTCCCTAGCCTCTGTTTGTTAGGGGCTAGAAATGGATGACAAGTAATCACTTGATGATTACCTATTTGTTCACTCCCTCTGGGGCATCTGGCTTTGGCCACTGTTGGAAGACAGACTACTAGGCTAGATGGACATTTGGTCTAACCCAGTATAGCTGTTCTTATGTTCTCTGAACTGCTACCAGAAGTTATGTTAATAAAGATAATTTTTATTATCGGTTGAGCCTAGCAGAAGTCTGGTAAGGAAGCAGATTCATATCCCAAATCAGAGACAGGTTAGACTGTTTATCTGATAATGTATCTTCCATATTCTAATTAGATACCTCTCCACAGAAAGCCATGTACCATAATGCTTTTCACAATATGATGGTATAGGAAGTAAAATCTGTGCACCATAAAATCTTTGCCAACAGTAGCACAGAATTGTAATTCCCACTACAATAGACTGCTTGAATGCTTTACGATAAATTCCTGAACAATATGGAGACTGCCCGTGTGCCTACTTTTATAACCCAGTAATGCTGACACTACAAAAGGCATTACCAGGCTCTAATATACAGACAGCCTTTTAAAAATACAGTAAGTTTTTTCTTTCTATATATTAAAAAAATTCCTGCGGGATGACAGAGTGACATTGTCACATCACACTGCATTCCATCTGCCTCCTCTCTCCCCCTCCCCCCCCACTCCTAGCCCTGTGAGCCTGATCTCGCTGCTTCCCCTCGCCACTTGGAATTGCTATTTTAAACCAACCCACTACTCCCCTTCCTCCACCAACTTCACACTCCACAAGAAACATGGCACAGTAGCCAGCAGACCCCACATCGCAGCCGTGACAGCCTGGGTGGGGGGCAGAGGAGAAAGGGAGTACAATGCTTGGGACAGCAGCCCGGGGACAGGTGCTAGGAGCAGGGCTCCCAGCTGGGCTTATGTGCCAGCAGCAGGTTCTTGGGGAGCCAGAGTGTCCCCCCTCCCCAGTGGCTGCACTTACTGCAGCTGCCAGAGCACCCACGAGACACCCGGGGGAAGCACTGCACCGACCTGTCTGCTTCTTCCCTTGCACTTCCTGTGGATGGATGGACGGACAGTCCTGGGCTCTGTGGGCAGGGAACAGTACAGGCAAGACCAAACAGAGAAGAGCCAAAGACTGACTACTAGAACAGCCAGAGAACATGGGAACAAGAGCAACTATGCTAAGGAACGTCACTTAAAATTACTAACTGAGCAGATTTCAGTATGAACTAAGCTACACAGCTGCTTAATGAATTTCTTCCCTAACAATTAAGTTACTTAATACAATAAAACTAGCTACTCAAAAAGAATGCAATGCTATTTCTAAGGAGTTTTTGATTTCACTAGTGCAGGAGTGGGGAACCTCAGGTCCGGGGAACCTCCCCAATATTGGGGCGCCCATGATGGTGCTCAAGTTTCCAGCAGGGCTGGAACACACAAAATCTAGTAGACTGGACCTCCCACGGCTCTAG